TGTTCCAATTCGTTTATCTCTAAGTCATCCCAGTACGAAGAATCTTTATTCTTGAAATCATCGAATTCTTCAATGAAGTTCTCTGCTTCGTACTGGGCATGAATTCGAAGGGACGAAAGTTGGTCTAAAGATTGTGTGGTGGCCATAGAGGTCCGATGCCAGTAGAGAAGCAATGGAAGTTGGTCCAAAAACATGTGAAGCTCTGCTTGGGCGAGGGGATTGAGAACATGACCCTGAGTCAGAATATCACAAGCCATCGAAGGTTCTTGAAAGGGACGTCGTCCTCAAGAACATTGAATGGCAAGTAAGAAAAAGCCGTGAGCAGAAGTTGACGAATTCTTCAATGAAGTTCTCTGCTTCGTACTGGGCATGAATTCGAAGGGACGAAAGTTGGTCTAAAGATTGTGTGGTGGCCATAGAGGTCCGATGCCAGTAGAGAAGCAATGGAAGTTGGTCCAAAAACATGTGAAGCTCTGCTTGGGCGAGGGGATTGAGAACATGACCCCGAGTCAGAATATCACAATCCATCGAAGGTTCTTGAAAGGGACTTCGTCCTCAAAAACATTGAATGGCAAGTGAGAAAAAGCCGTGAGCAGAAGTTGAGCTTGCTTCTGCTCAGCTGGAGTAGGGGAAGATGGAGGCTTGTAAGGTAGAAATATCTTATCTGCGGAGAGGGCAAGCTTCAATCTCTGTCCAGCAAGGATTTAGCGGAGGGGAAGGTGTGGATGCTTCTATTTCAGGAGATGGAACATGGGCAGAAGGAACGAGGGCATTAATATAATTGAGCCAGTCAGAAGAACAAATCTTTGCCTCTGGGCTAAGAATGATGGATTGTACCCTTGTGCCTCTTCTAGGCATCGGGCGGCGTGCACTATCTTTGTAGGTATGGAGGATGTATACTATGCCACAAGCAGATTCTCCACCAAACTGTGTCGATGGTCAATGGGCACGAAGGGATAGACCATTGAGCTTCGCGCATAATAGGGGAACTCTAAAGGGTCAGTAAATTCGACAAAGTGATGATTGATCCGTTCTCTCAAATCACAAGCCTCAGGTTTTGACCAGCTTATCCAGTCAGAAGCCCCTGAAGAGGAAGAAGTCATAGCCTTGTCCCATACAGAGGAAGAAGAACTTTCCATATCCATATTTGTAACTTTTTGAATCAAAGGATTGAGAGTAGTTTGTTCGTAGTCCACGGGTGAGGTAGAAGAAGAACTTCCCATGTCCATATTTGTAAGTTTTTGAATAGAAGGATTAATGGCAGTATGTTCGAAGTCTAAGGGTTGATAATCTGCAAAGGCATCCATGACCTGAATATAGAGAGGGGGGTAAAGGTGGTTAATTAATGCATAGACGTTCTTTTGAGGGGGAACAACATCGTCATATGACTCTTCGTGTGCTCGATCATTGGAGGAAAAAATTAATTCGACCATGAAATGTATCAGTCTGTTCGAATGCTAAGGTGGTGGGGGTGTTCAAAAGATTGAATGAGAGTTTAATACAGATAGTGAATGACAGTTGCATTTCTGGAAAAATGCAAAACCCATGCACGTTCTAAGACGTGGGAAAAAGACCTTGATCCACTAATATCACCAAGTATTGGGTATATTAGTGCGGGGGATAATGTTGGCTACATATTTTGTACAAGCCAGTTACAATTCGACGCGTGGCAAAGTAAGGGTAGTACGGGGAGACCATTCAAATCTTCGATCTTGATCGTATACGTGGCAGTTAGTATTGGTTGTTATGATATCTGAGTAGCAGTGGATCAACTAAGAGATACAAGGTGATGTGGTATCAATGGTTACTCACATTTAAATTCAAATTTAGGAGGGAAGCCTAACTGCAAGTGATGGCGTAGTGGAGCTAATCTTGAGGCAACATGATCAGCGATCATGGGGGAGCAGTTCGATGGTTGGAAAAACAGTTCGATGGTCATCTTTGAGCAGTATAAATAGCAGAGAAGGCCCTAGAAAAAAGCCCATAGACTCAGATCCAAAAAACCAGTCTTATTCTACTTTACTTAGTTTTACATGTCCTGCTCTTTACATTCCAGTATTTTAAATTCTGCACTGCACTTCATTCATAGGAGTAGTTTTCAAGTAGATTGTCGCTGTAAACCTCTACGAGGCTGAGGTTGAATCATTATAAGTTTTTCATTCTAATGAAATGCTTTAGTTGTTCTTTATTTGATTAGTATTTTGTTTAATTCTCCTAAACCAAGTCACTGGTAAAAGTCATCTTCATTGAGACTGAAAGAACTAAAACACAATCGTCTGATAATTGGTTGGCAATCAAATTTCTGTAAGGACTGATTGATCCTTGCTGGCACGCTTGCAATTACAATAATAACCTTCGAAAGCCAAAAAGCCAACAAACATACTAAAAAACCCATTGGTGTACTTTTCCGAATCGTAACAATCCAACACTCAAAAAAAAAAAAATCTTTGGTGTACTTTTCTCAAACATAACACTCCAATGTAACACAAAAAAAAAAAAAATCTTAGTGTACTTTTCCTAAACGTAATACTTCAATCAGTGTAATCTCATACATAACATTTCAATGTAACATACTCCAATATAACACACAAAAACACTAGAAAAAACTTGTCAGTGTACTTTTTCCAAATGTAACACTCACAGTTTGAAATTATACATTTACTTAAAACTTACTAAGGAATATTTGTACTCATTTTGAAATGGTTTGAAAAATCTCACATCCTATCTTTTTCAATGTTACATTGGAATGTTACATTTAGAAAAAGTACACTAAGAATATTTTTTTAAAATTTAAAATTTTTTTTTTGTGTTACATTGAAGTGTTACGTTTAGGAAAAGTACACTAGGAATTTTTATTTATTTATTTATTTATTTTTGTATTACATTGAAATGTTATGTTTGGAAAAAGTATACCAAAGAGGTTTTTTTTTGTGTGTGTTACATTAAAGTATTACGCTAAGAATTTTTTTTGAATCTTATATTAAAGTGTTACGTTTGAAAAGGTACACCAAGAAATTTTTTTGTGTGTTACATTAGAATATTACACTAAGGAGTCTTTGTGTGTTACATTAGAGTATTACATTAAGGAATTTTTATAATATTATATTAGAGTGTTATATTTAAAAAAAGTACACTAAGGAGTTTTTATTTTTTATTTTTGTGTACATTAGAGTGTTACACTAAGAAGGTTTTTTAGAATGCTATATTAGAGTGTTACGTTTGGAAAAAATAAATTAAGGAGTTTTTTTTGTGTGTCACATTAGAGTGTTACACTAAGGAGATTTTTTAGGGTGCTATATTAGAGTGTTACGTTTGGAAAAAAAATACACAAAAGAATTTTTTTGTGTGTTACATTAGAGTATTAGGCAAAAGAGTTCTTTTGGAGTGTTATATTAGAGTATTACGTTTGATAAAATTACAGTAATGAATTTTTTTATATGTTACATTAGGGTATTGCACTAAGATTTTTTTTTAGTATTATATTAGAGTGTTATGTTTGAATATTATATCAAAATATTACACTTTTTAGTAGTTACGCTTTGTGGATATGAAACCCATTTTTTTTTTTATCAATTAAAATTTATGTAATTATTTTAGGCTAACACCAAGTAAGTAACATCAACAATCTCCACGATCACTTTACGCAATTTCTAAAAAAATAAAAATGTTAAATCATACCTTACCCACACACACTCAAATCCTTAAAAAAAATCAAAACCAAATCTCAAATAAGGGCAAATAAATAAATTCTAATAATATTACTAAATTAAATTAATAATACATACTACAAATAAAAATAAAATAATTAGTTTATAAAAAAATATGTAAAACAAAATAGACTAACATTTTTTCAAATGAGGTTTATAAGTAATTTTTCTTAAGTCATATAATGGATGAGATAAATAATTGAATAAAAAGATTAAAGATATTATATTTAGTTAAAAATAAAATAAAAATATATGACTATCTTTGACTATTGAGAAGAAAAAAATTCAAAGAGGCAGTCATTTTTTAAGGAGGAAATCATTTTTTAAGGGAAATTTATTAAAAAATATATTTTTTCAAATGTTTGTATCTTAATTAGTTCATAAAATATTATTATATTCTAATAAATTTTATTATTTAGATATTTAATCTACTAAATCCTAATTTTCATGTTTAAAATATTATATGGACAACTTTTACAAATATTTTTTAAATATTTTTTAAACGATTAACAATTTAATGATATAAACATTCATATTTTACAATGTAAAATTCATACTGACATGTTAACATTCACATTGACGGTGTAAATATTCACATTAATAATGCTAACATTCACATAATCCATTCTTATAATAATTTTTTAACTAGGTTTTAATTTTTATTTTTTTTTTAACTATTTGGTCACTTTCCAAACACCTCTCAAGTTTAACTCATTTACATTTTGAATTAATATGTGTGGACTTGTTTATTTTGTATAATATAGTGTAAATTATTTATACAACAAATTAAATTAATTAAACCTTTCATAGTCACATAATTTGTATTAAAATAAGACATACTAACAAATATCCCTTCCACATTGTTTAATATTGCAAAACATGTAAAATGTGTCTGGTTAGCAAATACCTCGAAAGATTTAGATAATCGATTTTCAAAATCACAATTATATTATCATTTTTTATAAAATAAATGTGAGCTAAGTATACAATTACTATTATTTAATTGAATTAATTAGAAATAATTCATCGGCAGGTACTGCTATGCCCAACCATCAATTGTAGCTTTTCTGGTAACGTTTCGATAAGAGAAAAGCGAAGAATCATGAAATTTTTTTCATAAAAATGATGATGAAAGATTTATGGTTCTTGAATTACTTGATTAATATTTAATATTTTATTGTAAATGTAATTTAAAATTACAAAACTTTCATGATTATTTTCATAAATTTTTTTTTTTTTTTATGAAACCTAATAAACCCACTTTCACGTTTTCCTCGCAAGGAATGTATTACATAACAAGAAAAGGATAATTTATTATACACGATAAACTCGGACTAATCAAACTGCAAGCTAAAATAAAAGCAAGTTTGGACACGCTAATGCTGTGTTTGTTTTGAAAATTGTCAAAGAGATTTAGAAAATGAAAATAAATTCTTTTTTAAATCCCTTTGCAAATCTTCCAAATAAACACAGCTAATAGAATCACCAAACACTGGATTCAAGTTCAGATACTCTTCAAAACAGAGAATTACAAATCAAAACACAAACGAAAAGAGATAAACACTACACGTAAACTACTTGCATTTCGTGCACCGCAATTAAAAAACACAGACGGTTACCACAAAATTACATGACCTCAGTTTTGCTTTTATTCACAGAATTACCCAAACTTGTTATCCTTCACCGGAGTCGGAGAATCCGCCGGAGATTGTCCGTCGCTCCGCCATCGATTCCGGCAGCCTCGGGGTTGCAACTGAGCTTCGGCCTGAGTGAAAAAGTCGGCAAAGGCAAGCTGCTTGGCGGAGGAGAGAGACTAAACACCTCCGATAAATCTGAGAACTTCTCAGCCGATGATGACAGAACCCTAGAAACATCCTTCGGAAGATCCTTCGGGTCGGGTCCCAACGGGTTAGTCGATCCAATAAGCACACACTCCGTCGATTTCAGATCTGGTTTTGAATCTGAATTCACTGGTGTCTTCGATTTCTTTCGATTTTTGATTTTTTTGGAAGGGCACGAAAGGCCTCTGCTGAGAGGGTTAATGTTAGGTTTGGGGATCGGAAGAGGAAGAAGAGGTGGCTGAGGATTGAGAAATGAGAGAGAACGACGAGGCGCGTGAAGGAGACCGCCATGGAAGTTCGAAGGAGTGAAGTTCTCAGAGCTTCGTGAAATGAGAGGCTGATTGTTTCTCTTACGGTTTGTGAACTGCTTGTTGGGAGAGATTGATTCATCTGGAGACGAATGTAACAAAGCTGCCTCCATAGCCGATGTGTTCCAGAATCAGATTGAAATTTGACAGTGTTCTAAGAAGATAAAGTGAAGGAAACAAAGGCAATGATCTCAAATAAATACGGATCAATCGCTTGAAAATTTTCCGAGAAAAATGTGTACAAAAAAGGAAGAAAACAAAAATCTTTCTATTAAACAAGTTACTGGTTCAGAAAACCTATTGAATCATTCTAATCAACAGAGTTCTACATATTAACAAAAGTCAAAATCGTCTGCCACACAGAGATAAATAAAGGGAAACATGGATAGATTAGATTAGATTAGATAAGATAGATATTTTATAGGAGATCTTTAGAACCCTAATTTTTAAGAGGGCTGATGGGAATGCTAGTTTCGTGAATCATGAGCCTACGTCTCTCCCTCAACTCGAGATATAAATAGTGAGAACTCCAACCCCAACGGCTACTTTATTTTATTTTTAAGGGAAAATTACAATCATGACCCTAGCTAGATATTTAGAAAGGTTTTGTTAATCTTTGCCTTTGGAAAAATTTTAATATGCACCTCTTCAAAAGGAATGTCTTAATTAAGGCTTATTTTGGGAAGATGGTAAAAAGTGATTTTTTTGCTTTTAATTAAGTTTTTGACTTTTTTAGACAAATGATTTGAGAAGTTGGTAAAAAGTGACTTTTTGATTTTTTTTATTAATGTTTGTTTATGATGTCAAATCATAATAAAATGACTAAACTACCCCTATTTATTTAAAATATTTACAACTTCACCTATGTAACACATTTTGACTCATGAGGGTAAAATTGTAATTTCACCGTTGGCTAAAAACCAACTTCCCAAATGAAAAAAAAAGACAAAAAAGCCAACTTTTGGCTTTTGCTACAAATAAAAAAAAGTGACTAAAAGCTAACTTCCCAAAATAATCCTAAGTTTTTTTTTTTTAATTATAACGCTATGTTAATTATAATGTATAAATTTTTTAATTATATTTTATGTTATATTTAATAATGATATTTTTTTATAATTGTAATTAAAATTTTAAAATTATTTATTTTTTAAAATTATAAATGTGTCCGGCAGTGGTTCCCTTCCCTTCATGACACATCTTCATGTTTTAAAAAAAATATGAAAAATGTTTCACCTCCTTTCTCCTCTACCCCTAGCTAGCACGTACACTTCACGTTTTCCTCGCAAGGAAAGCATTACATAACAAAGAAAAAAAAACTCGGGCACCTACCCAAAAAAAAAAAAAAAAAGAGTTGACCAATGAAATGCTAGTAGGAGTTGTCGGGTGGGAATCAAGATCCTTTCCTTAAATTTTCTATTTGCAAGCCTATTAGGTCTATTTTTAGGCTTAATTTTGATAATTTAAAACATTCTTATTTTAAGATTTATTCAATATATCATACCTGTAAAAAAATCAAGTTGATCGGATATCAAAACGCATATGTTTGGAAAACTCGAACTAAAAATTATTTTTTTAAAGAATTTAATAAACAGTTTTTCGAACACATACTTTCTGATATCCGATCAACTTGATTTTTTATAAATATAATATACTGAACAAATCTTAAAATATGAATAGTTTAGATTATTAAAATTAAGCCTAAAACCGGGCCCAATAAACTTGCAAGTAAAGAATGTAAAGAATAAATGTAAGAAAGGAAATTATATCTAAACATTGTAGGTGTGAATCGAAATCAGATTATCAATAAGATGTATGTGTGAAATTGAAAGAACTGTGAGAGAAATCTGGAAGGAAGAAGATGAAAATCTCTCTGCAAACTAGAACGGAGAAGACAATGGAGGGTTTTATCTGCTGCTGGTGGTTCTATATTTTTTTAAGTTTTGCCCCAAAACGACATCGTTTTGGGACACTACAGAGAAGCATTGCAGGAAAGAATTGCAGTGGATCTGGACTCGCCAAACTTGGCCTAAATGTAAGAAAGGAATCTTAATTCTGTGGAGTGAAATACAAGAAAAAAATTGTAAGGAGGGAAACCTAATTCCATGGAGGAACCACCTTCCCATCTAAACCAAAAAACGAGATCTTTTTAGGGAAAAAAACAAAAATGTTAATTTCTCATTAAAAATTAATTATATATTGTAATAAAATCATCAGTTAAAATGATTTCTTTTAAATACAATAAATTTTATCAAATTAGTAATTACATTAGGGTCTGTTTGGGAAGAACTTTTTAAAGTTTTTTTTGGTTATTTTAGTCACAAAAGATAAAATAAGCTATTTTAGTCACAAAAAATAAAACATTACATCCAATCCATAATCATTACACTTTTCTCTCATAAAAAAGACAAAAAATCTAAAAAACTCTTCCCAAACTAAACTTTTTAGCCTAAGCTAAAATAGTCAAAAAAGCTAAAAAGTCAAAAAGTCAACACACTTCTCAAATGGAGGCTTTCTCTTGAGGTAATACAAAAGCTATCAAAATTAATAGAAATAACGTGTAAATTACAATTTATTGTTAGAAAACATAATAAATTCAAACATTAAGAGAATTTGTTAAGATTGTGACAAATTTATGAAACTTAATGTATTTTATTTACACCTTAAAGTTACGTTTGATTGTTGAATTAATACGATTAGATTATTAATAGAATTGTGATGGATAAGTATTTTTAATTCATTTTGAGAAGTAGATTAAAAGTCACTTCCTAACATTTTTACCTGTTTTGAATCACATCATTTCCCACATTTTTTATTAAAAAAAGTTAAAAAATCAGCTTTTAACTATCTTCCAAAACACTCATTGAATAAACAAAAAAAAATATATTGTGGGTGTTTAGAAAGTTGTTATTTTAGTAGATTATTTTAGTTTTTATTTATTTTAGTAGATTAAAATTTTTGTGTTTCGAAAGAAGATGGAATTTTTTTTTGTAATTGAATGTAATGCTTGTGAGAAAAAAATAAAATGATTATGAATTTAATGTGACATTTTATCTTATAAATTATTTTATCTTTTTTGTGAATTTTAGCCAAAAAAAATCAAAAATCTACTTACCAAACAGAAAAGATATTGTTTCAAGAGTATTATATCATTTTTTAATTTTTTTACCTCTTTTCATAATAAATAAAAAAAATTAATTTATAAGTCATACTCAAAATATGTTCAGAAAAATAAAAAGATAATGTGATAACTTCTAACAAATAAACTAATAAATAGCTTATCTAGATGCAAAAAACTATGCTCCTCAAATGGTGTGTATAGTATATATTTTATAATTAAAGAATAAAATGACATAATTTCATATTTTCTTAGTCATAACTAAAATCAAACAATGCACGAGACATAAACAAAACTCTTATAAATCATAATTAAGAAAAAAAATATTGATCACAACTAAAAAATAAAATAATATGACTTAAAAATACACATAATAAAGAAGGTTTATAATGAAATTTTCCTATTTAAAGGGACAGTACCCGAGTCTCTCCTAAATTTTTCGTCCACTTTCAATTCCACTACTGAGACATGCATGACCAAATTGATTAATGTAACTTATTTATGGGTGAATTAGACTAACCATTCCTATATTTTAAAACTCGGTAGTCCTACGCAGCTCGAAATTCGTGACTCGAAATCCGGCTCGATACCAAAACGACGTCGTTTTGGTGTCGATTTTTTTTTATTTTTTTTTCTTTTTTCTTTTTTTCGTCTCTTTGTTGCAGAACGAAGAAGGAGATGAAGAAGAAGGGAGAATAAGAGAAGGAGAAGAAGGGAGGAGGAGGAGGAGGAAGAGGGAGGGGAGGGGGCCATAAAAATCTGCTGGAGGAGGAGGTGGGGCGAGGCGGTGGCGGAGCTTCCACCTGCGACGATCAGCGAGGAGCAAAGGTGCTGCGACGACGGCGGCAACGGTCTGCAGCTGCGACGATCGGCCGCGAGGCGACGGCGATGGTGCTGCGCGACGATCTCCTCCCTCCGTTCTTCCTCTCCCTCCTCTCCCTTCTCTTTTTCCTCTCCCTCTTTCGAGCCAATTCGAGCCTCCCCTGTCGAGCTACGGCTCATTTCCGTTTAAAACTTAAGTCCTTTTATTTTTTATTTTTTAATTGTAATATATTTGAGTTTAAATTTTGAATCTTATTCTAAATAAGGACAATAAAAAATGTTTCATTTGTAAATGGTCAATTTCAAGATAAAGTTGTCATATAACTTATTTTATATTGATTAACTTGTATATTGTTTAAAATTTAATGGCCTTTTTTTTAATGAATAATGTTAGATTTTTTTTTGTTATAAAGTTATGTTTTGTTTGGTTTTCATAACCTATTTTCAAAAAAAATTCTAAGAATCTAAAAATTAAATTGATTAAAAAAATTAAACATATCATTTTTTTTTTATAATTTTATCTTTTGGGAGGATAAAAATAATTTGTTATATATTTATTTTTGTTAAATTAGTTTTTAGTTTTTCAAAAGTTAAACATGATGACAATTTTAATTTCATTATTAAACCAATCCATTAAATCAAAAAATTTAAAACTAAAAACATTACATATATTAAACATATCGTTACAAATTAAAAGATTAATAACCATCTATTACATGATAATTATCCAAAAATATCTATTAACAACAAGTACAACCATCTATTATATGATAACCATCTAAAAACAATAATAAAAACAATGACTCATTACATAATCATAATCCAAACACATACTAAAAATTAATTTGGCAAAAAAAATAAAAATGTAAACGATTTATCATTTTTATATAATTTTATGTTTGGTGGATAAAAATAATTTTTAAAAATTCAAAAAAAAAATTGGCATTTATTTTTATCAAACTAGTTTATATTTTATCAAATTGACAACTTTACTTTTAAAATGAAGTAATGGTGTCTTTAATTATGTTTATCTAGAACGAAATTCAAAATTTAAAATTAAATATATCATAATTAAAAAAATCAGAAATTAAAAAAATACAAATCTTAAACTACCGAGACTTTAGGGTCGTTTGGGGTGTCCTAAAAAAATGTATTTTTTTTATCTTTTTGGACTAAAAAATTGAGGAAGAAAATATGGATGTTTGGGTTAACTTTTTACTTTTTATGAAAAAATGTGTAATAAAAAATTGTAAAAATTGATTTATAGGGAAAAATTAAGATTGAAAATTATGCAGCCGTAATTGTTGACTTTTGGTGAATAGTATTAATTTTTTAATTTTTTGACTTTTTGACTTTTTTACAATAGGCCAAACTTGACCTTAATGTAATTTGTCATTTATTATTTATTTATTTTATATTTATTATTATTAAATATATTTTTAAATTAATTTCATCCTAATTTACCGACAACTGTTGCGATCGGCTATCCCCCAGTCCGGGACAGAAGATGCTGTAGGGGCGGCGACCGCCGATTGGATGTAGACCGTTGGATTATACTATT